TTGCAGTTTTAATGGTTGATGTTCTGAAAATACACTGTTCTGAATAGTTAGTTTAGAAATACTAGCTCTTTGTGAAAGATTAACAAAGTAACTGTGGTTCAGCAATATGAATACAAAAGGAATAGCTACTAACTTCACAAGTAAAAGGATAAGCTTCGTGATTACCTTTATTACTTAGAAATAAGAACTTGAACAATGGTAGATAATTCATGAAGATGTCAAGTCACTGTTTATCAGCAATTAAAAAAGCACAGAAAATACTGAGATAGTAACAGAAACAAATCAGTGAACAAAACAAAGAACATTGTTATTCTGCGGTAGAAAACATAGTTTTCCTACCTTTAATTATGCTGTAAAGTAAATTGAAATGAAGAAATTTTGACAGAAAGTTATAGGTATATAATGAATTTACATTAAGTACGACTCAGTAACTGTTTGGTCTAGAAAAAAGGATATGTGAAAGGAAATGAGAGGAACAACAAAAAATTGTTGCAGTATGTTTATTTAATTTTGTCAAAGTTGATAGGTCCAAATTGTTTGTTGGTATGTTCCCTTTTCCCCCTAGGTTAAATTTATTGGTTTCTACCTGTTGTTATCCCTCCCATACCCTATCCTTCAAAGCAAACCCCTCCCTTCTCGAAAGTTCCCTGTCACCCCAGTCCAGCCCCTACTCACCTGTCCATCAATTGTAAACCCCACCCCATCTTGCAGATCCTTCCCTGACAATCATTTGTCCCTGGAGGCCCCGCTGGTAATTGTATCTTGTTCCCTCCCTCTGGGTGTTCTTATTGGCTCTGAAATTATGATCTCCTCCCCTTGGAATTCCCTATTGGTCCACTGTTTGTACCCGCCCCTGGAGCTTGGGCTGTATTTAACCCCTTGCACAGCAGTGTTGGGTGCTCTCTTGGACCTGACTCCTTGCAGTGTGGTTCTGTCATTTCCCCATCCTCAATAAATGGTTGCTGGGAACTTCAATCCAGAGAGACTCCTCTGCTTTATTACCTCTGCCCCTGATGCCATGCACCACAGAGCTTGGGGCAGCCCAAGCCTCTGGAGTTTTCACTGTGGGAAAAGCTAAATCCCCAGTGATTCCCCACTCTTGGAGCTCGCCTGCACCTGAGTGCAGAACACCGTAGAGCTAGCCGGAGCTCCGGTGCAGAGCAGTGTCAAAAACAGTGGAAGTGCTGTGGAGAGATGATAAAGATAATTGTTTGCAGTCTTTAACTATACAGACATTGTATCTTTCAGCTTCTCCTGGTTCCTATTGCAGATTGGTTCAAGCTGTGGCTGAGGTTCTGCATTACTGGGCTGGCACAGAGCCTTCACTCATTTCATAGGAGTGGTGAAAGCCATCTTTAGCAGGCTGTAGTAAGTGCACTATTGTAGTGCAACATGCTGTACATTATTATGGAAAGATTGAATCATGGAAAAAATATTTTTTATTATGACAAGCATTCCAAACTTGCAAAAAATAATGAGAAATTATGTTTGTATATGTGCTAGGAATAATGACTAAAACTTTTTAAAGACAGATGAAGGTAAATAATAAGTCTGTCAGAAAACATTTTCTGAGACAAAGAAGAAAAATCTCTTGAAAATACCCTGCTTTGGTCTTTCAAAAATAAATGTGAGAAAGTACTATCATAATATTATAATAACATAATATTAAATGCAAAATTCTCAAGTATCTGTGAATATAGATGAACATGTGTCCATGTAGGTGTGTATGTGAGAATTCAAAAAAAAAAGGACATAATTTTTCATTAGCAAATAGTTAAATTTGGTGACTTAAAAGAACCTTTTTTATCCTTATTTTTTGTGGTTTTCTTCTCATCTGCATTTTAATTAACTCTATCACTCCTGCATTAATTTAGAAGTTGTTAAATAATTACAATGCAATTGATGAAGTAAACAGATGATTTAATTAGGAAAAGCATTGATGAGTTGCTAAGAAAGGTCCTTTCTATATGCATGGCTGTATAACAAGTAGCATAATCTCATTCCTATCTTTAAAATTTTCCATCTCTTATATCCATCTTCCTTTCTATCCTATTAGTTGTGCTTTCTTGCTATCTTCGTCATAAATTTGGCTTAATTCACTCAACTAAACATGTAGTGCCATCTAAGATCCTATAGAATATTTTATTTGATTTCCAGCTGCCACCAGACCATTATCTCCATTGAGACCGCAGCATTTGCCAGTCATATGTAAATGTCTTGCATACCTTAAGATACCTCAAATTACATTAAATACTTATATTAATGTGACTGAATAAACTACTTTAGACCTTGGTAGAAAGTGCATGTCTAATAAAACGTAGCTTTCATAGCAATGAAGTATTTTTTTGTGTTGCATGTGGCTTTTCCCTTACACAAGTACTGTGAATCTCCTTCTCTAATGGAACTCCTGTTTGTCTACTGACTAGACAGAGACAAATAGTTTGGATGAGATGTGTAGCTTTTAGGTGATTAAATTGAATCTGCTGGAATTATGTATTAAAGTTTGTAAAGTAGTTGAAACAGCAGGTGACTGCAAAGGTGCAACACTGTGCTGAAACTAAGATATATGCTGCCCTTTTTTTGTCTGATACTTGTGCCAAATTTACATGAGGAGAGTTAAATTCAAGTGCTAGATTTATTCTCCTACTCTGTGTCTCAGAAATAATGTGGCTATATACCTACCAAGCAATAGTACAATATTTATGGTTTTTGAAATTTCAGGCTATGAGTAGATAGGCCTGACTTGGAAGAACATAGGCTCATATTCACAAGATAAATTCTGAAATTTCACAAACTTCACTAATTCGGCAGATGAACCCCTGCAAAGAAGAAAAAAGGGGAGAAAAATTCCACAATTATTTTTTCAGAATTAAATTAGTAAGGGAAAGAAAAATGAATCCATGCTGAAATAAGGGTATGATAGAACTGAAGTTTATTATACATATACAAGCTGTTACAAAGGCTCCAGTAAGTGAGAGACATTTATTGAAAATTACATTTTAAATGCACTGGAAGTATGCATTTTATTTACAAACAAAGACTTTCTAAAAATATCTTTTAACAGGAAAATGATATGATCCTCTGAATTACTAAGGAAGTAACAAAAGACAGGAGCTTAAAGTCTTTCTCCCTCTCTAGATTGCAAATATTGAGTTCCCAAGCATATCTAATGATGGAATTGTAAACCACGGAAATCTTACTAATCCGTGAAAATAATCTACTTTTTGATTTAGGTATTGTAAGAAGAAATTGAAAAAAAGTCTTGGTTAAAGGTGAGTTCCACAGAATCCAAATTAAATTTAGAGGCTTGAAGATGAAATAAATATATTACTTTGGTTTCTTCACTAAGTGACTATTGATTTGTTATGAAATGTTGATATTATTTCCTAGAATTTCACTCTATTGGATTTTTTTTTTCCTACAGATAACAAAGCAGTTGTATTGGTTTCACACAACCTGGTTTTAGGTAGCAGGGGGCCACAAAGTTGGCTCCTGTGAGAAGCAGCTGGAAGCTTCCACCATGTCCAGTAGGGCCAAGCCCTGATGGCTCTGAGGATGGATGGGCTGCTGGCCAAAACTGGGCCAATGAGTGAGGTTGGTGATGCCTCTGTGATGACATATTTAAGAAGACAATCAAAATGAAAATCAAGTTTTGCTTTTAGTCAGAGAGGAGGAGGAGGAGGGAACATATGAGAGAAACAACATGGAGACACCAAGGGCAGTGAAGGAGAGGCCGGAGAGCCGGAGGTGCCGGACCTGACATTCCTCTGCAGGCTGTGGTGAAGCAGCTGTACCCTGCAGCCTGTGGGGATCCATGGGGGATGCAGAGATCCACCCACAGCTCCTGGGGATCCATGGGGGATGCAGAGATCCACCCACAGCCCCTGGGGATCCATGTGGGATGCAGAGATCCACCCACAGCCCCTGGGGATCCCCACGGGGGATGCAGAGATCCACCCACAGCCCCTGGGGAGGTGCCCACACCAGAGCGGTGGATGCCTGGAGGAGGCTGTGATCCATGGTGACCTGGTGAAGAGAGGGCCCTGCTTCCAGGCTGGAGCAGCCCATCCTTGGAGGACTGCACCCCGTGGAAGAGAGATCACAGCAGATTTGGGAGGACTGTGTGCCCGTGGGGGGAGTTCACACTGCAGCAGGTGAGGTCTGGCTGCATCTCTGAGAGTGAGCCCACGCTGGAGAAGTTCACAGAGAACTGTCTCCTGTGGGAGTGACCCCACAGCCTCACAGGGGAAGGACTCCTCTGCCAGAGCAGTAAGAAAATCTCAGTGATGAACTGACCAAAGCCCCCATGCCCTGTCTCCCTGTGCTGTGGGTGGGAAGGAGGGAGGGGCTGGGGAGAAAAGGTGTTTTAAGGGCTTATTTTACCTGAAAAGGTGTTTTAAGGGCTTATTTTACCTCTCATTATCCTCCTCTGATTTTGTTAGTAATAAATTCAGTTTGCAACTAAAGTTGAGCCTGTTTGCCCTTAAAGTGTTTTTTCCTGGTCCTTATCTCACTCATGAAGCCTTTGTTAACTTTTTTTTTTCCCCTCCTTTGCGCATCTGAGGCAGGGGAGGGTGAGCGAGCAAATCTCATGGGTGCGTGGCACTGGGCTGGTGTCAAACCATGACAGCAGTGTGTTCACTACTCTTACTTGAATGACCCTTTTCACTATCAGTGTCCAGATATTTAAATTAATAAAATTATTAATTTTTTCCACTAGTGGCTATGTAGAATAATTTTCTCCAGTATCAATTTCCGGCTACTTTTTAGAACAGAAGTCCATTTGTTTTGTTAAAATGATTTAAATACTATTTTTCTCTTTACATATTTAAATATTAGATTAAAACCCAATGAATATTTGTATCTATTCTATTGCAACATGAATATAAAGTTAAATAAATTGGCTTGTATTACCTTGCTTAAAAAATATTCCATATTACCCCTGGTGTACATATTTAGATTTTTTTCATATTAATTGTTTATGGGGAAATAATTTCTTATTTTTTCAAACTGTTTATAAAGGTCATGTGCCCTTAAGAGACATAGGAAGATAACATCACAAAATTTAACTTGTTGATTTTAAGAAAAATTAAGAAATTGAAAAGAATTTAAGAAAAATTGAAGAAACTTGGACTGACCTTCTTTCTAGTTCTTTAAAGACTGGTAAAATGGGATAAAATGTTATGAATCGTCACTCTCCTAAGTAGCTCAATAATCCTTAGCTTACTATAATGAAAATAGCTAGGTCTCCTCCATTTTTTATGCAACTCAATGGTTTTGACCTGGTTTGGGATCCTTGAGTACAGTTCATCAATGATACAGGAGAACAGTACTATAGCAAGAGTTATGTCAATTTATGGTTTCTAAATGATATACTTTTGTAGACATAATCTATAGCTTCAGTAATCAGGGAGACTATTAAGCAAATCAGATCTGTAAATTTTTAGGTTTTTAAGGTCCTTCAAAAAATGGCTTTCTAGATTTCTCTCCTGGACACAAGCCTGTAAATTCTGTATATCTCTCAATTTAGTAAGTTTGGATCTGGGTTTATGACACATTTTTGCAAGTCTCCAACTAGAATTTTGTCTTCCTCCAGTTTCTGAATAGCATCCTAAGGACAGGGGTATAGATATCATGTATCTGAACTTTTGTAAAGCTTTTGATATGGTTGAAACCCTTAAAATCATCTAGTTTTAACTCCCACAGGCAAGGACACCTTCCACTAGATTAGGTCCAGAGCTAACAGGATCCAGAACCTGGATCTGGCCTGGAACTCTCCAAGATGAGCACATCCAAAACTTCTCGGGGTCCCCAGCAATATCCTGCTCTTTAAATTGTAAAGAGATGGATTCAATGGGTGGACTGTTAGGTGGGTAAGGAATTGATATCCAGACGGTAGTGGTCAATGGCTCACAGAACTGATGGACACCAGTAACAGTGATGGTGTCCTTCAGGGGTTCTTATTGGGACCAATGCTGTTTAATATCTTCATTAATGACATAGAATAAGGGATAGAGTGTATCCTAATCAAGTTTGCAGAAGACACCAAGCTGGAGTGGTGTGGTTGACACAGCTGATAGCTGGGATGTCATCCAGAAGGACCTGGACAAACCAAAGAAGTTGACTCATGGAAATGTCATGAGGGTTAACATGACCAAGTGCAAGATGCCACAGCTGGGTTGGGGAAAACCTTTGACATCAATAGATCTTGGGGGATGAAGAGATTGAAAGCAGACCTGCTGAGAAGGACGTGGGTGTTCTGGTGCAGGAGAGGCTTGACACGAGCCAGCAATGTCCACTTACAGCCAGAAAGCCAATTGTATCCTGGGCTTAATCAAAAGTAATGTGGTCAGCAGGATAAGGAAGGTTATCCTGCCCCTCTGCTCTGGTGAGACCCCACCTGCTGTGCTGCATCCAGCTCTGGAGAACCAAGAAGGGACATGGACCTTTTGGAGCAAGTATAGAGGAGGGCTACCAAGTTGATTAGAGGGATGGAGCACCTGTCCAATGAACAAAGTATAAAAGAATTGGGATTTTGAAGCCTAGAGAAAAGAAGGCTTTTAATTGTGGCTTTCCAGTACCTGAAGGGAGCCTAAAAGAAAGAGGGAGACTTTTTACAAGGGTGTGTAGTGATAGCACAAGGGAGAATGGTTTCAATCTGAAACAGAGTAGGTTTAGATTAGCTTTTAGAAATAAATGTTTTACAGTGAGGTTGGGGAGGCACTATAACATTTTCTCCAGACAAGGTCTTGATGTCCTACCCATTGGAGTCTTAAAGGCCAGACTGGATGGGTCTCTGAACAACTTGATTTAGTTAAAAGTGTCCGTGTCCATTGCAAGGGGGTTGGAACTAGATGCTCTTTAAGAATTCTTACAACCCAAGCCATTCTATGATTCTCAGGAGACAGGACTTATTGGGAGCCAATTCATAGCATTGCAGTCCACTTTTCTCCCACTCAAAAAAACCCAAATATGTTCAAGAGAATCTAAAAAAATTCAAAGGAAGGTTACCTTTTTACCTCAAAGAGTAGTAAACGTAAGGTATTTAGTAGGAGCCTAAGAAGGAGTATGTTTTTTTTTCATGGCATGACCATAATGGTCTATCCAGACCTGGAGTTAATTTCCAGTGGACTTTAACACATCAGCGAGGGTGTGCTATTCCTGTAGATTAAATAAAATAATTAAACTCTGTACCTTCAGATCAGTATAGATTTTCTTATAATTTTTTCTTATGTAATTATGACTCTTGATGTACAGCCTTGTTCATGGATGAAATGTCTAGATGATGTATCAGCTATAACCAACTAGGAAATACCAACAATGATGAGATTATTATTACCAATCACATTATTATTATCTTGACATGGAAGAAATGTATAATTAATAGAGAATCGCATTCCTACATCACATTCAATTAAATGCAGCTGACATACATCATACACTTATAATGACTTCGGCTTTTATTAAATACCTGTAAAAATGTTTTTCAAAAAGAGCTAGAAAATTAGTTCAGCCTCATCAGTTTCAAAAAACCGTCAAATAATTTTTTATATTATTTTTTCAGATGATTTTTAATCTGTGAAGGAATGTAAGCTGAACCTAGAATTGCATCTGAATATCTGATTTCTCTTGATTTGTATTTGTATTTTCATATGAATATGCCTTTCAAGTATTCTCAACACTCCTCTTGCTAATCCTTAGGAAATTAATATGGAGTTCGTTACTTTCCTTTATCTCCAAACTGAATTAGCAAAATTAACATTTACAGCCACCATTCAATTTGATTATAAATAAGCATACTTTGCAGATAGTAATTTCAAATCAAACTGTCTTTGTCTTACTTAGCATTTGCTAATTATCATTTTATAAAACCAGTATTTGTAAAGTAAATAGTTCTACTCAATTTAACTTCATTAATTGTGCACTACATAATTATTCCTTTCTCCCTTGAAAGAAACAACAGGTGGAAAGCTGGAATCAAAAATTTTCCTATGAGAGGAATCAAAAATGAAGCAACCTAATAGTAATGATGACTTAGCCATTCACAGATTTTAAAAAATATTTATATTAAAAAAAAGCATTTATTTTATTACCACTGTGTTTGACTTACAGGAATTTTCTTCATGAAGACATAATTAGCATTTCGTATCTATATTTAAAAAGATCTTTCAGCAACCAAAAAGTGTCATTTGAAGTTGTTGGCTTTCAGCTTTCTGGTCACCATGCATATGCATTTAAATAACTTTTACATTAATTATAAAATATAATCTGATGAAAAACTATTCAGTTAATTATTTACAGATATAAATATGTAAAATTGTAAGTATCTTGAAAGTTAAATATGTTTTCCGTATGAAGGACAGTTAATCCCCTTAATGTATATTTCAGTGAAGTCTTCTTTTGAAAAGTGTGTAAATTATGAGGATTATATAATTTAAGTGAAAATCTGCTTAATTAGCCCAGTTCTTGAAATATATATTATTTTCACAGATGTAAAGGGAAGATATATCATATCCAATAGTTCTGTGTACCACCATATGAGCCTGTTTGTTCATCCTCTATAAAACAGGTTGTGATGGAATTGTAGCATCTTAGAAAACTTATAAATATTCAGCCAGTGATAAATAAAATAACTTTTTTATTTCCTAGTTTGACAAAACTTGTTACAAGTCTCTGGAAAAAAAAAAACAACAAACAAAACAAAACAACAACAAAAAAAATATTTATGTGTATATGCAGAAAATTATAATTGTTTTCCATTGAAACAGAAATAGTTGTTCATAGAGTTATATACCTGTCTTCTATGTATGGAGAAGAGGGTTGGAGTTCACAAAGGAGTATCTGTGAAAAGACACATGTTCAACAGATTTGTGGGTATTTCTCTATCCAGACAAGGCATATCTCCAAAACCACGTATAAAGGACACAGAAATGGTTGGATGGAAGTGTTAGTAGGCAAGAGAAAAAAAGTCGAAGTCCCTCCAGAGATCTGTATGGTCAGTACACCCAACTCTAGAATAAATAGATCAGTTGTTGCCTTCTGGGATTACCTCTACCCAGAGGGCATAGGAGAAAGACCTAATTTCCCAATTGATGCACTGGTCTTGCATCCTCTGTGGGAAGAGGCCATGGGCTCCCCTATACATCTAGATAGCTGAATTCTTTCCAATTCTTACTTATGCATACTTAAGAAGAAATAAAAAAAAATTCCCAGTCCAATCTCTGTCCATGATAGTTATGGTCAAGTTATTTCCTTGTCTTTCTCTTGACCCAGTAGGTTTTTCATCTTACTTTCTCACCTTCCCCTGTGGAGAAGGGGACATGGGATAGCAGCTGGATTAGCTGTCAAGTCAGCCAAAGTCAACCCTCCATATGCACTTTTACTTAAAATATCTGTAGTATATTCACCATTTTCTTCCTACCATATTAATTTTTATGATTTTATACAGAATTGAGATTGCAATTATCATGTACTGAAAAATACATGGCTGTATTTTTCCCCATCACATCCCCACATCACTAATTATAGTAAAGATTGCTAAGAACTTAAAATGAGCATAATGAAATATGGGTTAATGCATAATCATCAAGACAAAACAGAAAAAATACCTCAGATTCAAGAACTAGACTTTCTGGCACAGACTGTCACACACACACACAGAGAACTCTCTGGTACTACTCCCACTCCTCAAAACCAGTCACTCCAATGGACTCGCCCTTGGAGACTCCAAGAGTCTCCTGGAACAGCCCTGTGAGGAGCAGGAACAGACTCTCCATTCCTCTCAGTCATTTATTTACACTCTTACCTGCCTCTGGGCTCTTTGCTTCTCTGGGCTTTGATGGTCTGGTGGCTCATGGGATGGGTCTAGGAGGAGCTGAGACAGTTACATGGATTTTCCCCACCACTCATTTTCTCTGCGTGCTCCTTTGTGCATATTCAGACAAGCTTTTTATCACATGATCTAATAGAAAATATGAAAGTCATACACGAAAAAGTGATGTAGATCTGATCTTACTCTCATTAAAGTAAAAGAAAATTTGTTGCTGTATTTGTATAGCTGAGATGAAAGCATGTGTAATCATGTGTAATCAACATTTAAAACTGGACAAAAGAAAATTTTGGCATATAAAATTAACCTTTATGCTTATAATTACTTTGGCACACAAAAGAAGAAAAAAATAATCAAATGAAAGCATAACAGTAAAACTGATTAATTTTCAATTTTGAGGAGTAATTTGGTGTGAAACTTGAATGACTTTTAATGAACAGTTTATTTAATCTCAAAGTAGTGTGCTTATTAAGACTTTAAATTGCTACTTCTATGAAAATTTGTAATGGATGCTGTGAGACTTTTATGAGTAAAATCTCAGGTTTTTCTGGTCATCCTCACATTACATAGAAATAATTTTTTCTTCAAAGTAAGGAAAGGCATTAAATGATATACAGAGAAAAGAAATTGCAGTGGTTTGACCCAAACTCAGCTACAGAATATTAGCGTTTCTGACTAGCTGCTGGTTTCATATCACACTCTTTTTCTTCATGTTAAAGTACAATTTCAGAATTTAGGAAATTTCAAAGTATGACAAATGTGTAACAGGTAGCTTTGTAGAATAGAGAGAAATATATGCTCTACTTAATCATAAGGTTTGCTTATTCTTTGTATGTTGCAGTAATTTTCTAGCCCTCGGTCACAGGACACAAGTAATTAGTATTGAATTGCTACAGTGCTCTGAAATGTGAGTAAGAATTAGAGTACAGGGACGCTGAAGTGTTTGTCCTAGGTTCATATTACTGACAGTATCAGCAACAGAGTGGAACAGCCTAAACTCTTTAATGTGTGTATTCTCTAGAGAGCATTACCGAGGAAGTTTGGGCTCTGTTCTTTCTTTATGGTTGGGTAACTAAGCTAAAAAAGAACAAACTATTTCTAGCTTTCTGGAGTACAGAAATGTTGACTGATCATACTTTCTGGAGTACCCCTAGTGCTAGACAAACCATTGCAATTCTTTCTCAGTGAGTCCCCTTGGAGGTTTAACTATTAAGGCTGTTCATCAGACCCTGCAGGTGAATGACATGGTGCAACCCACTAACATACAGTGTTTTTCTTCCTCAAACCAAGTAAATCTTATTTATAGGACATTTTCCCCAGTCTTTAATGATTTAAAACTACGTTGAGGCTTTATCCGAGAGGATTTTCCCAGTCTGAGTCAAAGTCATCACCCGTGCTGGCCTAGAAATTAAATGGTGTAGACAATCATGTGTCAGTGCATGGGCCCATTTTCTGGTCTCGGTATATTGTGTTAAATTAATTTTGTAACAGAAACAAAGAAAGATTTGGTGATCATTTTTGTGTCTGAACAAATCAATGTTACTGAGAGAAACATTCCTATGACACATTCTTCTGTTGGACGTGTTGTATCTATTTTGATATTGCACCATCATCGGGAATTATCTTTATAAACAGAACATACATAATTATAAACGCATACATTAATATTGTAATTTAAATGATTACATTTATAATGTACTTATTAAGGCAAAAATACTGCATCTCTTTCATGTGTTCACGTATTATTAGCCTCACATATGTCCTCAGGAGCACTCCATATCCAGATTTTGGAACAAAAACATTGTTACTATGCTCTTTTGAACTAAAGTGCATGTCTGAAATGAGTATGCAATTTCAAACCATCAAAATACTAACAGACCTGTATTTTTTCTGCTATTTTTCTCACCTTTTAAGGTAATTGGTATCATTAGGGTAAGACTACTACCAGATTTCAAGTTTGATAGGGTTCTTTTCAATATGTCAACCATACCTTGGCACCAGTAAATAGTGATACTGATAACTTTTGCTCTTCATCTGTTTTTAATGTGCTTGTTCTTCTGTTTCCTCTGTGAATTCCAGCCGTGGTAAGATACAAAAGCTTCAGGAAAATGTTATTTTTCAGATTCCTGTTGTTTTACCTGATTTTTAATGTTTAACTTCTGTATTCTGCATACAGTGCTAGTGATTTTAACAAAATATCATAGTCAATGATAAAAAAAAACAAAACAGGATAATGGTTAAATTCTTTAGTTTCTGATGTTTAATTTTAATAAAAATGTTACTTTCAGACCCCGACTAGATTCCTATTTTGGTTGACAGTTATTGCACTTAATTTATTTGTCTGTTCCTCAGAATGTAATCTTTCAGGTGTGCCAGTGCACATAAGATAAAAGTTTTGCTGATTTACAGTTAGAAGTGTCTAATGCATGTTGAAGATAATATTTAACAGGTAGTACCATTTGAATTAATGCAGTCTTCCTTGTGTTTAAATTCAGAAATGTATTTACATATCAGGATGTTCAGACTTGTCACTGTAGTCTTTTAAAACACCTTGCAAATGTTATGGTGGGAGAATTTGTAACAAGAAACCATGTGATCATTCTTAGTCTACTCTTTTCATGCTTATACTACTTTTCATTCTTATATTTTGTTCAGGATTTATAATTTTAAAACAGTATCAACACTCTTTCCAGCACAAATCCGGAACATGCCCACATACTAGCCACTGTGAAGAAAATTAATTTTACCCCAACTAAAACCAGAACAGATACAGAGCACTGGATGTACTTTAACGCATAATTCCTGTTTATTATTCTCTATGAACCTAAAAACACACTGTTACACAAATGACAAATGAAATACCTTGCTGGTTTAGGTTGCTTTCAAGTTCAAATACAAAGGACAAAAAGAGGGCACAAAGTTCTTCAGTCTTTCCTTTTCTCTTCAAATGGGAGATGACATTAAACAACAATGTACTCTTTACTTGTGGAAGCAAAATCTTCAATTAATTTTTTAAGTACTTTGAAAATTAGTCTTTATGTCAGTCTTCTTGCAAGAATTTTCAAAATTCTTTTCTGTCCCTGACTATGCAAGGTATCTACTAAGATATGTAGTTCATCACCTAATTTATTTTTCTCATTTTATTTTCTACTTTCTTCTAATAAATGTCATATTCTAAATATATGAGCCATGACAGAATGTACTTGATTGTATCACATGATTTTAATCTTAATATTGTATCAAGACTGTATGGAGTTTTCATCTACATTAGGCTCACTAAACTGAATAGAAAACTGACAACTTGCTCCATTCCATTCTTCATTTTCAGATGTTATTTCCTGATTATTTCAAGATTTCCAACATCTACTAGCTAGGCAGAGAAGTGATTGAGAGCAGCACTGCTGAGAAGGACTGGGGGGGTCATGCTTGATGGAAAACTCAACATGATCCTGCAGTGTGTGCCCAGAAAGTCACCCCTATACTGAGATGCATCAAAAAATGTGACCAGCAGGTCAGAGGAAGCGATTTTACCCCTCTACTCTTGCTCCCATGAGACCTTACCTGGAGTACTGAATACAGTACAGTGTACAGTTCTGGTGTTCCCAATAGTATTATGTGATAAGGACATGGAATGTTTGGAACTGCTGGAGCTAACCCAGAGGAGTGCCGTGAGGTTGATAAGGGGACTAGAGTGCCCTGTCTATGAAAGCAGGCTGAGAAAGTTGTGGCTGCTCAGTCTGTAGAAGGGAGGGTTGAGTGGAGACCACATAGTAACCTTACAGTATATGAAGAGGGCCTGCAAGGAAGTCAGGAAGAGACACTTAATTGGGGCCTCTAGTGATATGACAAGGACTAGTGAGTTCAAACTGAAAGATGGGAATTCAGGTTAGATACAAGGAAGAAATTGTTTGTTGTGAGGTTGGTGACATACCTGAATAGATTGCCCAGAGGAGGTGTGGTTGTCCCAGCTCTGGAAGAGTTTAAGGCCTGATTGGATGGGGCATTGAACAACCTGGTCTAGTGGGAAGTGTCCCTGCTTGTAGCAGGATGTTGGAACTAGACAATTTTTATGGTCCCTTCCAACCCAAACCATTCTATGATTCCAGAATTCTATGATGTCATGACCCCAACTTGTATATATGATATACTTTGTTATCAATTAGCACTCTTGGGGTGTTTAATCCTGAACTGAATGAAATTTATGTTACTGTTAACAGCCAGCTAAAGAATTACACTTGAATGTGGCTTCATATTCAACACATGTTGTTTACCAAAATATTTCAATAAAATCTAGATTCTAAAGTTCATCACTTTAGTTTATAGGGTAACTGGTCCTCTAAGTTCCTGAAGAAACCATATACTGTGATTCCAGTGAAGACTGCAGGAAATAAGATTGTTGAGAGTTCTGCATAAGGCTCATAAAAATTTGGTTTAAAAATGAAATTTATTTTATGTATCTATCTTAGCCAATAAGATTGGATCTTGCTCTAAAAACAAGTATAAAAATTTATTTAAATTTCATATATTCTTGCTGCACTGGGAGATAAAGTAGTCTTAGGTAAAGCACATTTATTCTTTCCATAACTAAAAAATGTATGTGCGCAGAAACAACATGATATCTATTCAAGTTTAGATGGGGCCCTAAGCAACCCAGAGTAGTGGGTGGCATCCCTTTGTGTGGCCTTGGAGTTGGAACTATATAACCTTAAACTCCCTTCCAACCCAAGCCTTTCCATGCTTCTATGATATTAGCACTACGAAATGATTTTAACAGAAAATCTGGCCATTATATAGGACAGAAAAAAATAGAGCATAAGAGTAATGTTGGTACTCTAGGACAGTAATCCACTGAGTTGGAATGCATAAGTAACCACAAATTCCTCAAAAGGCAGTGTCACAACAAATCAAGTTTGGCAATTACTAAGGAAGACCTTTTATTAAAAGCTATTTTGTACTGGGAAATACACAATTTAGAGGAAGCATTCCAAGATCTCCAGACTTCTAGGTTTAAAAATGTTTGGCAAGTTCATCAATCATGTAAATTTACATTTGCCTTCTGCAAGTAGCTGTGCTAGAAGCACTGCATCCTCTCTCTCTCTAAGGGCTCATTTGCCAGCTAATCAACTGTCTGATGAACTACATTTGCGGTGTTTTAGATCCCATAATAAGAAATATAAGACAAAATATTCTGTGTAATTCATAACATATTAGGCACTTGCAGTTTTGGGTTACTGTATACCTAAAGCTGTTTAACAGTCTGGTAGTTTATGACAAAATTTGTTACACTGCACTATTTGAATAATACACTTTAACAGTCTGTCCTGATTATGAATTGGTGATAATAACTTGGTTTTGTCTACAGTCAGATAATGCAACCTAAATAATTGGGTCTGGATCCAGTAGAGAAGTCAGCCAGAAAGTTAGGAAGGCAGATTTCCAGATGGAGCTTGGGATGGTGCCAGAGGCAGGGCTGAACGCAGGTATCTTGTAGCATGGGCTGCCTGAGCAGAGGCTATGATTGAGGGCCATTCAGAGCCCAGTAGTCCTTAGGGTCCTGACATTGTCCTTCCTGCATTTGTCTTTCAGAAAGATTTTGTTATTGGTCTGCTGTTCCTTGGAACCTCTTTTTTTGGCTAAAGATGGGTCCAATATTTGTTTTTTTCCAGCCCTCAGGAATTTCTTCAGATCAACAACTTTTTCAGATTGGCCCCTGATGAAGACCATGGTGAGGCAGGCTGTCTGTTCGCAGTCCACAGAAGTCTATGGTGGAGCAGAGATTCATCTTCAGCCCAGGAAGGACCCCTCACTGGATCAGGGAGATGCCCAGAGATTTATGTGATTCCATGGGAAGACCATGTAGGAAGTAAGAGACTCTGAGCAGGACCTGTGAACCCAGGGGGAGAGGAACCCACACTGGACCATGTTTACTGGCAGCACTTGTGACCATGCAGGGTACCCGTGCTGGAGTAGCTTCTTCCAGAAGGACTGCATCCTGTGGAAGAGACCTGTGCTGGAACAGTTCATGAATTACTGCAGCCTGTGGAAGGGCTGGTAGGTTGATTAGTCAGCTGGTTGGTTAAATTCAAAATGTTGCAACCAGCCTTTGGAGTGTCACTGTTTTCCTGGATGGGTCAGGATTTACTGTAGGCCCAATGGCAACTAGGGTAACAGCCTGTGGGTCCAGGTGATGACATCTTTAATCCTGCTAGTGAGACAAAAAGCTCATGTAAGAAGGAAACTTACAGCCTCCAAAAACTACATCTGGTCAACAGATGGATGTCTTAATCTCCCACAGTCTCCAATTACAGTCATACATGGCTTTCTCTTGTTTGACACACGGATCAGGTTCAGCCAGCCTAGATATCTTCTCTGAGGGAACTTGCTAATTTCTGCTGCCTCAGCTTTCTCAAGAAAGCCTTCTGTAGATTTCTGGAGGGCTATAGACATCTACAGACAAACACCAGAGGCTGCCATAAGTCATTATGCTGTGAGTTTTCACTGTCTGCTCATTTGACTGTAACCTCTGACCATCTTTTCCTGCTCTAAGTACAAACTGCCAGTCTGTTTTTCTTCTTCCCTGATGCCAAACAAAGCCACTGGACATAATTATAAATATTTCTTTGTTGCTCAGTTTCTTCTTTCCTCAAAAGTTCTTTACTGTGAAAATACCTGGATGTTCTGGTTTTGGCTGCAGTAATGTTAATTTTCTTCATAATGGATGGTATGGGGCTGTGTATTGGATTTGTGCACAAGGTTGATATTATAAGATATGTTTTTGTTACTCAAATGTGCAACAAAGAAAAACAGAAAGAGTACTCAGAAAGGAGTAGATAGCATCCCAGAGAGAATGGTTAACTTGGAGTTTATTTGAAAACTTCAATTATGTCATCTATTGAATGGTTCCTTTTATATTGTATGCTTTCATAAATAAAATGTGTATATATTATTCAAGCCTTTAAAGGAGAAATTTTAAAGCACGTTGATAGAAAATTCCTATATTTAAATTTGTACCTTCACTCTTCTAAAACTTTCTCAGTAGCATTTTGAGTAGCACTCATGGATGCTTACAGAGATAA